CCCCCCCCCCCCCCCCCGCCGTTAAACTTTGAACAAACGCAACCGCAACGAAACGTTCCACCAAGGGTTTCAGCATAATCGCGGGTATGAGTGTTTCTTTACGGTCGAGCTAAAAAATCAACTTTAACTCGACCCCCGCCCCCGCATCTCATCCCCTCGCCCTACCACCACCACGTCGACCTACCTGCCCTCGACCATCTTGCCCAGAACCTTGGGGTCCTTCCCACTCTCCTCGGCCTGCTCGAGAAGAAGCTTCTTCTCCTCCTCCAGCGCTGATTCCGGCGCGGAGGCCTCGTCCAAGAACGCCGGCCTCGCCGCGACCACATGCATGGCCAGAGACTTGGCGCTCGCGTCGAGGGTCTCAGTCGTAGCGGTGTCGTCGCCTGCTGCGGAGGTATCTGTCGTACGGATCGCAGCAGAGGTTGGTACCAAGAAGGGACGCGTGCATGGGTACGCCTCAATCAAGTGAGTGCCTGCCAGCAGGTTGCTGCGGGAGTGTTGCCCATTTCGGAAAGTGCCGACGAATTGTTCCGTCTGTACACGTCAAATCGCGAAAGTCAAAAGTTGAGCACGAATAGGCCACAGCAGTCAAAGGCTCTTGCCCTGCACTTTTTGGGGGGGTAAAATGTGGCATTGAAAACAACTGATGGATGCGGACGTGCTGCGAAACGCGGGCAGGCGAGGCCCAGGCCGATTGTGCTTTCATTTATTGCTGGTGAATCAAACGCAAAAGCACTGCTGCTGCTGGCCCTATATCCGATAGCGTTCTGGCACCTCCTGCTAGGCGGCTGCTGGTACGTGCTGCTCGCCGCGCCCGTGCGACGTTACGGCACGATACAAGACTCACCGAGCTTGAGAGCCACGAGCGCGGCGTTCTTGCCCATTCCGGGTAGTCCCGTTGCCCCGTGTACATAGCCGGCCACCACACCCTTCCCGTCGCCACCTAAGGACACCACCTGCCTCGATGAGATAGATAATAACACAGGAGACGAATAAGACACGCGGCGGGGCGGGGGCAGGGGGGAGGCAGCAGTAATTGCGAGTGTTGTCGCCTCCACGCCACACACGTGCACTTTCTTTTGTAGGAATTACTATAGCTCCTACGTCTCGAGCATGTCACGGTAGCAAAGGCTGCAGGTCATCCCTTTCGTGCACTGGCCTTTTCTCGTTCGAAAGGTACGGAATGCCCCTTCCCCCGCCCGCCCCCTATCTACATCATTCGCGACCGACATACAACCGATTTCACGTGGGATGGTACCACGTATTGTGCTCTTACGTGTGCTCTACTGATGGTGATGTTTTCTCGGATGGCTCCAACCAACTGCGCCAGCGTGTCCGCCAGCAACTCCCCCGATCCTGGAGAAACGAAGCATGTATCATAGGTGGTAAACACACAGATGCCGTTGCCACACGCACGGAGGACAGGACCGAGGCTTGATACACCAAACCGAGCCCATTTCTCCTTTCGCCGAGCAACCGCGGTTTTTGGGGTTAGAGATCTAAATACACATCACATCTATTTAGAGCATTGACAACCATATTACATCGTATCAAGCCACGGCATGCACGCGCAACAACTGTCAGCGACAGAACAATCGAGGTGTATCAAAGATAGCAACGCCTCCCAAACTGGAGCCCCGAGTAAAAGAACAAGACAACCGTGTCGTGCTAACCTGGATGGTCCTCCCGAAGAAGCTCCCTCACGTCAAGCTCTCGCGAAGCCGGGACCTCCGCCCCCCCGGCCGCCGCCTTGGCCTTCTCGAGAACAACATCCAGGGACTTCTGTACGAACTCCTGGAACTTGGCGTTTCTCGCCACGAAGTCCGTCTCGCTATTAACTTCCACGAGGGCGCCGTGGGGTCCTTCCACGCGGAGACCGACCAGGCCTGGCGCAAACACGCCAGCACAAGAAAAGACACGCGCGAACGTTATCAGGCCGTCACCCCCATGTTCTAGCTGGAAAACTGGAAACCTTCTGTTCGTTAGGCCCGGAGTACCCACGGGGTAAGCCGGGAGTACCACTCCCGGGAACGTGAGGTTTTCAAGCACACCATGTATATCGTAAATACACATGAGGAAAGGAGCTACTGCACATAAGTCTGAATGTTACAAGGCCTGATAGACGGCGAGCCGAGACTACTGTAGGTACCGCCCGATATTTTTGCGAAGGTGTCTTTCAGCAGCGGCAGCGGCGCAAAATCTGTAAACCTCAACCTTGCAACGATCCAGCTCTCAATACAAACGCAATACAAACGATTTTGCCTATTTATTTCTTCCTGCTTTCTTGCAGGCGCGATCGCAACGGTGGTATCCTGGGTGCATCGGTTTTGTGCCTGATCGTGGAAGACCCCTTCAATGTGGAACGATTCTTAGCTAGTGTCGATATTTTTCACTGCAGTGCCTACACAGACGATCGGGAGAGATTCGGGTGATTGTCAATTGCTGCTATGATGGCTTTGGTTGGTTGTTCTTTTTCACTGTACGGCCGCAGACACATTCTGACAGCACTTCAGACAGCAGCTTTGTGCCCCGCCAGCTGCTTGTTCCATGCCTACCATGGTGTTTTTGTACAGACGGCACTTCAGACAGCAGTATGCTGTAGTCGGCAATCTTCCGTTTTGGTATAGAATGGGACAGGGAGGGGGTGATGCTACTGTAGTCGAACGGTGGGACGGACGTGCAGTTCAGTTTTTGGGCACGCATACGGTGCTGCAGGGATCTTAAGGTGTACCTCTTCGGGCTCTTGGATACCTTTTTCTCGTTATATGTGTGCGTGTTCTTTAGATCCTCAGATGGCTCTAGCGCTTTCGTGACCACGGGCTGAGAGTCTTTTGCTAGATTTTGGCATTTGGCAACTGACATACGGTTTAATGTGAAGACAACAACAACAACAACAATCCTAAATACGGTGGCGCAAATAGCGTGCCTTCGTTCGCGGATCTGTCCGCCATGGACGTGGCCTTGGCGATACCCCTCTTCCGGAGCCATTGGAACGCTTGCGCGATGTCGCCATTAACGCCTTCCGCCTGATTATCCACGAGAAAAGTGCAAGGGCGAGGACGTGGGGCGGAGGCAGCACGCGCGTTCAAGAGCACGAGGCCGGGGGGGCCGGGGAGGGTTCTGAGCCACGACGCCACCGACCGTTATCACCCCTCGGGACACTGCTGCTGTGCGGCACTATGTAGTGACCATTCCCACGCCACCAGGACCGTTCAGTTCAGGAAAGGGGTTTTCGGTTGTACATGCAATCTTGCAGCCACTCGTTTCACCCTTGAGCATGGCTGTCTCTCCGCCAGGGTGCCCTATGCACTACCGGGGGTGCCAAAACGCGGGGAGCCAGCACGGCAGTTTACCACACAGTCGAGTCGGTGCGTCTTACACCTTGTGCTTCAAAGGAACAATCAACGAGTAAAGTCAGTCAAAGCAGTGATTAGCTTCGTGCTACCACCGGTTGCTCACAGCAGCAGCAGAGACAAACACCGGGGAGCGAGGGGTGAGGTTCGTTGTTCGCCACAGAGCAGACATGCTGTACGTACAACAGGTAAATGCGTGTACTTCGCCGCAACGGATGCCTGTGCACAGCACGGTACATGTGGTTGTACGTTTCAGGTGCAGATTTGTCACCAGCCAGTCGTTCGCGTCTACCTTAGAGTACTGCTGCTTATGCTGCCTCTTTGCCACGTCATCATCTTTCGTTACCTCTCTGCCCGTGTCCTGTCTCGCTCTCGACCCGGCTCTCTACTCCTCTCTCGGTGCGTCTGCTGCATTGTGCGCAAGTCCTGGCTGCTCGAGGTCCCTACAATACGATGCTACACTGAACAGAGTACCAGCATCACAGACTTCTGTCTTTGGGCACACGCACGCACCGCTAGGGCGTTCTTGCAGTCAACGACTGGAGCGCCGGAGGCTTCCCGCAGCTCCTTGATGAGAGCCATGTCAGGCTTCCCCGCTCCTCCGGCCTTGTTGGGCATGCTCAGAGCGCGGACGGAGGCAACTCCGGGCGCACGGCGCCAGCGGAGGGCAGCTCTGCCGCTCGCCCTCGAGATGACGTGAGGCAACAATGACATCGTGGTACTGGTGGAAAGATCTACACACTCGTGTGCGTGTGCGTGAGAGTGTGTGGGCTTGCCTACGCAAGGTGCGTGAAGTGTGACGGCGTGTGTGTGCGAGAGAGAAAACGGAGACCGTCGATCCAACACGCCGCTTTGCGCGCGCCACTGGACTGTGCGAATTTGGTTCCAAGAACACGCCTCTTTCAGTGTTACCCCCCGACCACAGGGCCACAGGGCGGAGAGGTCCCTGCCGTTGGGCAACAGGAGGGTCCTCTAACGGTGCCAAGACGGCACCTCTAACAGCGTGCATGCATGCTCGTGGGGTATGAGCAGACGTGATCCGTGTTGAGCTCGCCACAAACCGGCTAACACAACCGCGGGCGGACTGCGCGGTTGCATTATATTTTTCCCGGGTCTGAAAAATACAAACGACCGTTTCATCGGGGATCAGGCACCAGAAGCAGGAAGCAAGGGTCTCTCTCTCTCTCTCTTCTCTCTGCATGTGGAGGGTGCAAGGCCATGACCGGCGAAGACGAAGGTGGTTCTTCCGCCCTCGGAGCCTTGAGCCGGAACTGGCGCTCGGCGCTGGTGGTCAATGGATTGTTCGACGCTCTGGAAGAGACGGAGAGGCAACGCGACGAACTGGCTCACAACTTGAGGTGTCACTACGTTTTTCCTGTCTCTGCTGGTCTTTGCCGCAGCCCAGAACCTCTTTGCTCGTTGGAACACAAATGAAAGCTCTAGACCACCCCACCTCTCTCATAAGGTAGCGAGCACCCGCATTATTGGCAATGTATAGTTGTTCCGTGTTGAGGGCCTAAGAAGACGCAAAGGGCATTGGCCGGACCCGAGGAACCCAGCAGACAAGCGGACCAACACATGATGGTTAGATTTGACCTCATCCTTTACTGGTCTCATCTCGCGCAAAGTGAATCCAGCATCGACCCGTTGCATTTTCCCCAGCTAGCTGGCCAGGTGCCTTGTGTATGAGTTCTGACTAAGGTGCTTTTGAGTTTTATCCGGTGCATCCGCCCTGTTCATCGCTCTGTTGCCCTCCTCTCAGCAACACGGGCGCACTGCTGTCAGTTGGGCATATTTGCGTGCCGCACCTTTCCCTTTCCCAATCCTGCCCCGAGACGATGACCCTCTCTCTTCCCCGACCTTCCAACCATCCAACCAACCGTTGCGGGAGCAGTAGGCGCGACCAAGGGCCACCACTTTTCGATGCTGCCACCGAGAACAACAAGGCCGATGGCGGCGGCGACACTTGGCTGCCACCCGACAGAGATAGCAGCAGTGGTGGCGAATGGGCGCCCAGAAAACGACAACCACCCCTGCTCCGGCACTCTCTGCTCGGGCCCTCAGCGTCGCCACGGTCGTCTTCACCGCCACCGCGGCCGCCGAACCCTGCCATTGCATCTGCGGCACGAAGCGGCCGCCGGGAGGAACGCAACGGCAGCCGCCGGCGTGTCCTCACAAACAGGGAAAGCGATAAACGGCAACACCCGACGATAGGAAGACCGGAGGGTAGGAACGGCAGCGACGACGGCGACGGCCTCTTGTACGACACTGCGGCGGTTGCCGAGCAGATGTCCCCGCCTCCGCCAACGCGAACACAAGGCGGTGGCACGCCAGGATTTCAACATAACCGAGAAGGCAACAACGGAGGCGGCGGCGGCGGTGGTGGTCACGCCGCGAGTACTTCGCGCGCGCGGGGGAGGGTGCGGTCCGGAGGGCGGGGCGACGACGAAGGAGAGGGAGATGGCCCGGGTCTGTCGGCGGCGGTCTCCGTGGGGTCGGTGGCCGGCGAGTTGAGGGGCGGGGAGCTGGAACGAGTGCGAGGGAGGGTGGCCGATCTCGGCGCGGCAATAGAGACGTCTCAGGTGATGCCCGGTGATAACAGATGGCAACCTGGTACGCACATGCGATAGCAGCACATACATACCGGTATCCACCGTAGCCCACTCTCTCCGCCCCCTACCCCACGTTGACTTCGTTAGCTGCAACGGTGACGGCATACATGGGAGGGGCACTCCGGCGCATGGGCTTTGAGCATACCCTAACCGACAACCGAGCGCATTTCCGACTGGCGGTTTCATCACTCACCCTCGACGTTCTGGTGCCGTGCTGCAACCCGATATCCCATTCCATCCTCTCATCGTCAGAATTGTTTAATAGCCAGACAGTTGAAAATTTGCCATTTCTATGTCTCCCGCGAAAACAACCTGCACTTTTTTTTACCCAAAGCGCCCCTTCAACCGTTTCACGCTTTTTATTTATCTGACACAGTCCAAGCTCCTGCGAGAGCTTTCTCAAGTGCAGGAGGATTTCTTCTCTAGCTTCGGCTACGCGACCCCACTCGGAGCCAGCGCAGCGACGAGCGCGGCGACCAACGGCGGTACAACCGCACCCGACCTCGGCGGCGGTATCGGTATCGGCAGCGTTGACGGTTTCTCGTCCGCCCTCTCGTCCATCCCTCCGTTCGCGAGCGGCGGCGGCGGCAACACCTTCGACCGCTCGCGCTCACCCCGCTGGGGCGGGAGGAGGGCGGGAAGCAGCGGCGGGAGCGGAAGGGTAGCCACCTCCGTCTCCCCCCGCGCTCGGCCGCCGCTTCTGCGGAGCGATCTCGACGAGACAGCGGAAGAGGAAGAGGAGGATAAGGCCGAGGCCCACAGCAGCGGCAGTTACCACCGCGGGGGAACCAAGATGTCCAAGGGCAGACCCGGCGGAAGGGATAGACAGGACGGCGCAGCGGCGGCGGCGGCAGCGGAGATGGCGAACGGGGCTTCGTACGCGTTCCCGATAGAAGCGTCGTCGTCGTCGCCGCGGGAGGGTGGCAGGGCGGCGGGGCGAGGAGGAGATAGGCTCTTTGGTTCGTCCTCTGGTCCTGCTCCAAGAATGAGGAGGAGCTGGAAGAGCTTGTCGCCTTCTCCCCGCACCGCCGCCACCCCTGCGAAGGGTGGCTGGCCGGTGGCAGCCGGATCAGTCGGTAGTGCCAGGTGAGACGCTGTGCCCGCAGGCGTTTTGGGGGGACTGGCTTGGCTTGGCTTAGCTTACCCACGAAGTAACACCCGCGGCAACGGTGCGCTCGAGTTTCAGCGACAATATTGTTGTCTGTGCCGCATTTGGACACGCTTGATTTTTGCTTCTTTCAATGTCTTCTTTTATCGTCGAAGCAAATTATGCTGTAGTGTTCCGATTTCTCTTGAAATTACTGCTGTTGCCGCAGCACGTGTGCCCCTGTTACGATTACACGCGTGGTTCAACCAGATAAAGTAATGATAATGATTTGTTCACGCTGAGGTGTTCTCTCCCCCCCACTTCGTGTACCGTATGTATGTAAGACAGGCGCTCTTACACTCAGAATGCCGGGGTGGACGAGCTGAGGGATCGCTTGCTAGCAGAACTGGAGGCGAAGGAGGAGTTGGCGAGGGTGAGAGCTGTGTGGGGGGCGTCGCTGCTTCGGGAAACAAGCCCCCCACCCCCCAATCTCTTTTGTTGTGCTGGTTTCTTGTGCAACGACTACTGCGTGCGGGAGAAATTTTGTCGGGGTTCTGCTGCCCGTCAGTTCTGTTTTTCACGGGGAAGGCATCTGACAGCGAAGAGAGTAATACCGATAGCTGCTCATGTATCGATACGTTACACCAAGACATCGGTGCCGCATTGCCATCATCTCGTCGTGTCTTAAGCGCCCCCCTCCCCAAAAAATAGTTGCTGGAGGATTCCCGACGGG